CTGCGACGGCTGGCCGGGGGCGCAGGGAGACCAGATCGAGCGGGAGCGGGTGAGACAGGTGGGAGAGTCCGGGGAGCGAAGGGGCACATCCGCAGGAGGGCTCTGCAGCAAGTCGCCAGCATCAGGTGCAGGACAGAGTTCGAGAGAGCCGGACGGGGAGGGCAACCCAGACCCCCGACGTGTTGTTTTGTTCGTAGCGTGGAGCCCCAGAGGTTTGGACCCCTGCCCAGGGGCCGGTGATTCGTCATAAGTCGTTTTGAATGGCCCCGCGGCCCAATGAGGGCCGCCATAAAGCCGAAGATAATGAAAAACCTTCCGTCGCTTTTTTTCGCGAAGCGGGGGGCTCTGGGAAGGAGGACGGAGGAGGGTGGAGATGAAGGGAGGAGGCTAAGGGTGACGGGCAATCGGAGGAGGAGCGGGAAGCAGCAGAATGGGGGATGCGAAGGGAAAGAGGGGCGAGGTACCATGACTGGGCATAACGAGGATTGTTTTGAGTGAGGATATGTCGAGAATACCTGAGATCCGGCGGCTCTGGATGATGTATCGGGCGCCGCGGCCAGCTCCGAGCGTTCCGCAGATCTCTTTGAGCGTTCCGGGACGCTTTGGAACGGACTTATCCTCGTCCTAGCCCCGTCCGAATACGGCCCTTCCACATCCACGCGCACCGTACAAAAACTGCCACTGGACTTTCGAAGGTCGCGGCAGGTAGTTCATGTCACGGACCACATGGTCGCTTCCAAAGCCGACATGCACGTCGATTGATATGGGTCGGGCGCCTTGCGTCGCTTGGCAGACGTCTCAGCCACACACACACACACACACACACACACTTCGTGCAAACAGGCCCATTCTATGGCGAGCACTGCCACCCGAGGTGCGCTGAGCTCAATCGCTCCTGTCCACAGCGATGGCCTCGACCCTGAAGGCTTTTAAGGCATACAGAAGCGGGATGGCGTGCCAAACGACTACCGACAAGGCGACCTGGCTGCTCGCCGGGAAGGCCAGTCACGTGCTGCACGCCTAACCCTGGTCTGGAGTGGCAGTCGTACTGCCAGGTCCTGAGTACGACTTACTGCTGACGAACACGCTTATGTGTTCAACTGTGCCCTTCTGCAAGCACGCACGATCGACGACCGCGAGCGCATACATGAAGAAACCGACAACGACTGACGTGGGACGTCTCATTGGCTTGACCCGCGAAGCAGTGCCCCGCAGCGGTTCTTCATCCGTATCATATGTTGACGGTCCCGAGGCCACGTAAGGGCCCCCGGAAGCCGAAAATAACCAAAGACCTTCCAGTATGATTTTTCATGCACCGAGGGGGTCTGGGACACTAGCCCGGGTTCCTTAGCACTCCCCCTTCAGTCGTGAGTGAAGACTCTTGCACTAACAGTTCCGTGACAGCTGCGAGGCTGCCGCCCCGACCCTGCTCGTGGAAGGGCAGGTTGAGCCCTGAGCTGCAATCTGCCAACCCTGCCTGCCGAGGAGGGGGAGGAGGAGGAGAAGGAGGAGGAGGAGGAGGAGGAGGAGGAGGGGGAGGAGAGGGAGGAGGGGAGGAGAGGGAGGAGGGAGGAGGGAGGAGGGAGGAGGGAGGAGGGAAGCGGCAGGAGGGAGGAGGGAGGAGGGAGGAGGGCGGAGGGAGGAGGGAGAGTAACAAGGCGTGTGGCCTCTTTGGCTGCAGCTGGACGCAGGCCAGAAAAAACATCCCTCGAGAACATGAGGCCCTCCGCGGGCCAACACGGACAGAACATCCAACGGTACCCTCCCCGGGGTGCACAAGAGCATCCAACAGGCACGAAGAACATCAGGGTGCCCTCCCCGAACCGACCTCGATCGTATACCTCAGTCCGACTGCACTCCCCTCCCGGCTACATTGCGACCAGAGCAGAAGGATGCGAAGTGAAGATGCAAAGCCCTTGGCAGGAGTGACGAACGAGAACACACACCCATACCAATAGGGGGAATGTTGGGAGGAGGACTGGCTATGGGTATGGGTGTGGGTTGTCGGATCCTGGGGGGTGCTTCATTTCGAGCGGGGACCCCCATCCGACAACACGCACCCATAGCCCCCTCCGTCCCACCTATGGGTATGGGTGCGCGTTGTTCGTTCGTCAAGGAGAGCCCAGAATCGCATCGATAAGTCGGATCGGCGATCGACATGAATCGGATCGGCGGAAATCGGCAGCCAAGTCGGGGAAAGTCGAATCGGCAAGAATCGGCGGGCTGGTAGGCCTCCACTGAAACATCGGAATCCAGACTGGATTTCCAAATCGAACCGAATCGGAATCGGAAGCCCTCGAAGTCGAACCGAATCGAATCGGAGGAGCCGAAACGCGCCCTGAGGGGTTGGGATCCAAATCCGTTGATGGAGGGTGCAAGCGGGCGGGCGGGGGACGTGCACGCCAACGGCCCGCCAGGCTTGGCAGGCCCCTCGAGACGGCCTGATGATGTCTGCTTCGCTGGGGCCGCAGACGGCCGCTGGTGGCCACGAGGTGGTTCCAACATGACATCGGAGCCACCCGGAGAGGCCCCCAAGATGCCGCAACCCTTGTAGAGTTTCAACGGGCTTGATGTTCGCCTGTGACCTTCCCCTTCCACAGTGGGCCTCTGAAGCCTGAGGCCCCCAAGATGCCGCAACCCTTGTAGAGTTTCAACGGGCTTGATGTCCGCCTGTGACCTTCCCCTTCCACAGTGGGCCTCTGAAGCCTGATAGACGATAGCCCCGTGGTGACCCAGGAGGCCACTGAGGAAGCCCGAATGAGGTTCGGGAGGAACCCGAACAGGGCCCCGACGAGCTCCAAGAGGGACCAACCGAAGCCCTGAGGAGGCCCCCAAATAGCTTTAAGTCCTCCTACAGGGGGACTTTGGCAGAAATACACAAAAACTAGTCAGAAGATACACCAACATTTGTTTATTTATCTACATATATAAATATATATATATATATATATATATATATATAACAAAACACACACACACACACACACACACACCAAAAAACATGTTTTGACTATCTTGAAAAATTCCTCCTGTAGACGGACAGGCCCGACTTAAAGATAGCTCCGAAGACCCAGAAGAGGCTCTGAGAGGAGCCCCAGAGAATGCCACGAGGATCCCGAGAGGGTTCCGAGGCGCAGGCCCCGAGAGCGTCCGAATATTATAGGTCGGGCATGTCCTCCTACAGGCGGATTTGGGGCGAAAATCCAGACGACAGTCAAGGAAATACTGGAAAAAAACAACAACAACAACAACAACAACAACAACAACAACAACAACAACAACAACAAGAACAACAACAACGACAACAACAGCAACAACAACAACAACATCAACAACAACGACAACAACAACAACTACAACAACAACAAATTGCCGAAAAAACGCCCCTGACTATTTTGGACTATCTGTAAAAAGGTTCTTCCTGTAGAGGGGCACGCCCGACTTCCTCCTAACAGGATCCCAAGGGTGCCAAGAATTGTTCCGGCAGACGCGCGGCGAGGCCGTGGCCCAGCCGGGCACTCACGGCCCCAGAGGCCATCGCTCGGACGTCCATTCCCTATGTTTGTTTTCAGTTTCGTGCGTGGCTTTTTCGCCAAATGATCAAGGATGCTCCTCGATGGCCCTCGCCGAAGAAAAAATGCACACGTCCGAGCGATGCCAGGACTCACGGGAACACCGTGCCCGCGTTCGTAGTTTCGCTGGCGAGACCAGCACGGGCGAGAACGAGCACCCAAGGTTATTGGAGTCTCATGTCCTTCCTGCCCTGACCTCAGACATGCCTTCACTCCTTTGCCTGCTCATGTATCCTACTACTGTTGCTCTTGCACTGATCCTCCTTCCTCACCATCACCATCGTCATCGTCATCGCCATCGTAGTCGTCTTCGTCGCCGTGGCATCGTCGTCATTGTCCTCGTCGTCCTCGTCTTCGTCGCCGTCCTTACCATCGTAGTCGCCATGATCATCATCTTCCACATCATCATCGTCATGATCATCATCATCAACAGCATCAACAGCATCATCATCATCATCATCATCATCATCATCATCATCATCATCATCATCATCATCATCATCATCATCATCATCATCATCATCATCATCCTTATCATCATCAGCATCCTCATCCTCATCATCAACATCAGCAGCAGCATCAGCATCAGCATCAGCATCAGCATCAGCATCATCAGCAGCAGCATCATCGTCAGCATCATCATCCTCATCATCATCAGCATCCTCATCCTCATCCTCCTCATCATCATCATCATCATCATCCTCATCCTCATCATCATCATCGTCGTCGGCATCATCATGATCATCATCATCATCATCATCAGCATCATCAGCATCATCATCACCATTACTAGCACCATCGCCATGATCATCATCATCACCAGCATCATCATCAGCATCATCATTGCCAACACCACCATCATCATCATAATTATCAGCATCAACATCATCCTCATCAGCATCGTCGTCATCTTCATCATCATCATGAGCAGCAGCAGCAGCATGAACATAATAATCATCATCCTGATCTTCAACATTGTCATCACCATCATCATCAGCATCATCACCATCAGCATCAGCAGCATCATCATCATCAGCATCATCATTGTCATCAGCATCATCAGCGTCAGCCTCATCATTGTCACCACTACCAACAACATCACCACCACCACAATGATCATCATCAACATCATCATCAATCATCAGTCACCAACCATCAATCAGCATCAGCATCATCAGCAGCACCACCACCATCACCATCTGTAGCACTACCATCATATTTCGCATCAGATTCATCAGCATCGTCCTCACCCTGAACATCCTTGTCATGACCATCGCCACCACGAGCATCATCTGCAGGATATCAGTGCTTCTCAAAATCCTCCTCCCACGTCACTTCGAATCCCAAGGACATCCGATACATCTATAGTTTCGCCATGAAGCACAACGCTCGGAGGGGCGTGGGAATGGCGCAAGCGGCTCGGAAACA